TACGCTGCCCTTGGGAGGGTCCAGAATCTTCCTGTTAGTGGTCAGAGCCATGAAACTTCCTCAACTCAGGACTTTCATGAAGATGACAACAGGCTGTACGGGGCTGGCAAGGTTTGCTCTCACTCATCAGACTCATGACACTGTTAGACGCAAGGAACCACACAGATGGGTACTCCGTGATCATCCTCCGCTGGTCCTGGAGCCTCCTTAGGTCCCACAGGGCCTGTCATGGCTGTCCTGCTATGTGGGGGAGAGGGACATCAGCTTAACGTACAACTTAAAGTGAAAATCATGGCGACCACAATAGCCAACATCACGGAGCACATGTTCTTATGGAGTCTTTCACCCTATAAGAATTACCTTTAATCCTCACCACCATCCCATGAGACACCATCTAATGAGACACAGTTTTACAGATGAGAACACCAAGGCATAGGGAAGTCTGCTGAAACACAGTTTGAAGTATACTACAGTCACAGTGTTCAAGGATAAGGCTCCTTACTGTGTGACTGAGATGTCTGCGTGTTGCCTGCGTGGCTGGATCTGTCGAAGGCCGGCTCCCCTCAGATGGGCTCTGGCCTCATCCTGGCGATGCTGCAGCTCTGAATCTCAACCCTAGTCAGGCAGTGGAATCCCCAAGCCCGGGCCCAACCCCAGGTCACTGAAATCAGAGCCTCTGGGAGAGGGGTGGGATGAGAATGTGTGAGAACCCTCCTCCGTGTCTGGGCCCCCTTTCAGATACGGAGGCTCTCCTGGGTTCTGTGACTCTGGAGAGCACAATATAAAACAGCTCCTCTATTGCACAGGGAAGCAGCCATATGTGGCAACCTTGAATGTCTCCTGGGAGTGACAGGGCTCCCTCAGGATGGAGGGTGGTAGAAGTGTGATCGACGGGCACCAGTGCTCAGGGAGGGAGGTGAGCAGGCCTCTCCTCATGGTGGGGGATGGCAGACAGGGAGGCCCTTGCACCCTGCATGTGTCCTCACAACAAGCTAAGCCCTAGGACCCACAAAAGCATGGGCTGGCTTGGAAGACCCTACCCAAATGCCAGACATATTACCTCATAGAAGATACGGGAGGCCACCATTGGCAAAAACACCTGCCAATCAAGCTCACTTGATTCTCACTACAGCCCTGCAGGTAAATATGAATACTTTCCATTTAGAAGGAGAGCCTGACACCCAGAGAGGTGAGGCGACTTGTCCAAGACCACACAGCCAGGAAGTGACAGGAGAAGTTCTGGAATCCACCTGCATCCAGTCCAGGGCTCTTTCCACTTCCACAGCCTCTGGCACAGAGCAGATGCCCACTGGCTATCCAATCAGTTATGAATGGGGCCCCATATCTCTACGTAAAGCCTTGGGGCCGCCCTGCCTCCCAGGCCCAGGTCTCCCAGCACACAGGGACTGAGAAGAGGGAGGGTCAGCCCAGGGAAGTGCATTGGGCTGATATCCCACACACGCCATACTTGTCACTGGCCATAAAGTCACGCTACTCTTTTTTTCTCTTTTTTTGAGTTGGAGTCTCACTCTTGTCACCCAGGCTGGAGTGCAGTGGCATGCTCATGGGCACTGCAGCCTCGACCTGCTGGGTTTAGGTGATCCTTCCGCCTCAGCCTTCCAAGTATCTGGAACTACAGATGCATGTCACCATACCCAACTAATTTTTGTGATTTATTGTAGAGACAAGGGCTCATCAAGTTTCCCAGGCTGGTCTCAAACCCCCGGGGTCAGCAATCTTCTCGCCTCAGCCTCCCAAAGTGCTGGGATTACAGGCTGAGCCACCGTGCCTGGCCACACTGCTCTTTAAAAAGAAGGGCAAAAAGAAAACTTGTCCCTATGGCTTATCTCAGGGAGGTGCCCAATTCCTCTGCCCCTCACTTCCTCCCCCCAACCCCCGCTGACTCTGCACAGCGTGGAGAAATATTTCTTGTGATGTGTGCTAAATTTACTGTCCAGTAATTCTTCTGTTCTCATTTTCTGTGACTACAGCTGAGAGATTTTTTTTTTGAGTCTCAACTAGCCCTGTAAATTACCACTGCCGTTGCCTCTCCAGCCCTCAAAGAAAAAACTGTCCCCCTAAGCCTAGCTCAGTAACTCATGCCTGTAATCACTTTGGGAGGCCAAAGTGAGAAGATAGCCTGAACCCAGGAGTTCAAGACCAGCCTAGGCAACACGGTGAGACCTCATCTCTACAAAAAATAAAACAAATCAGCTGGACGTGGTAGTACACGCCTGTCATCCCAACTACGTGGAAGGCAGAGGTAGAAGGATCGCCTGATCCCAGGAGGTCGAGGTTGCGGTGAGTTGTGATTGTGCCTCTGCACTCCAGCGTGGGTGACTGAGTGACACTCTGAATCAAACAACAACAACAACAAAACAAACCGCCCCAGCTTCGGTGGCCATCGCTGGGGGCTGGCGGCTTGTTCCCCAGAGGCCTTGGGACCTTCCCTCGGGTCAGCAGGGAATCCCAGGACTGCCTCAGGGCTGGTTGGGACTGGGTCCAGCATAGTCCTCCTTGCTGAAACTCAGTCTTGAGAACTCCCATAACATAGAATGATTGTCTACCCTGTGCTCTGCCCTCTGATGGGGGTGGGGAGGTGGGGCCTGGAACACGAGGCAGCACTGAGGAAGATGCGCCATTGGTCTCAAGTGCTTACCGCCTAGGTGGGGGTATTTCTGGGTCCACATAAGTGATGTTTGTAGAGTGCTTTGTGTGTCACAGGCCTTTGTATCCACATCCCCACACTGATGATCCCTGGGGCTTGGATGGCAGGACAGAGTCTGTTTTGGTGTGTGGGGGGTGAGGGGGGCAGTTAACAAGGTGGGCCTGGAGGAGGAACCAGCTCAAGTGCAGATAGGAGGCAGGGAAGCCTGGGTGTGTTCAAGGGGGATGGAGTGTAAAAGTCAGGAGTGAGAGGGACAGGCTGCTCAGGCCTGGGCTGGTCCACGTTTGGATGCTCCTCCCAGTGACTGGGTCATCAGTGGTCTCTGAGCAGGATATGCGGAAAGTCTACAAGCAGATCAGCTGCCTGGGGCCAAGGGGGTTCCTGAATTAGGGTTGGAGCCCAAAGTTCCAGGACAGAGGATATCAAGGTGGTGGGGATGGGGACGCTGGGGCCAGCCTTGAGTCAGCTGCTGCCATGGCTTGTGGGGGAAGCCAACACGTCGCTGGCATGGAAGGGTAAGCAGGGCTGGGCCCGGGGACAGGAAGGGGCGGGGGACACTGCCGGGCTCAGCCCCGGGCGGCCTCTTACTATGCTCTAAACCCTGAGTCTGGGCACCTCAGTCTGGGTGGGGTGCTGGGAGGAGGATCTGGCATTGACTACATTGAAGGCGGTGTCTGGCACAGAGTAGACGTTGAAGAAATGTTACAGTGTGTTCCTGTTTAACGCAAGAGACGGCTGAAAGCTGGTAACTAACTTGCACCCGAGTCACACAGCTGGTGTGGATGCGCCCGCGCTCCGCAGATAGTTGGTGTTCATTAGCTCTGCCCTCTGTGGGTCCGCCGGCGGCCACCAGAGGGCGCCCTGGCCTCGGGAGCAGAGGGGGGCGGGGCTGGCGTGGGCCTCAGCTCTCGGGTACCAGGCTGGAGTGGAGTGAGGACACAGGCCGTAGTCCCGGGGTGCAGGTTGAGTTGCTGCGCGCTTGCCTCACAGGAAGCACGGTCAAGGCTAAAATCCGTTTCTCCTTACACGGTGCAGTGATCTTTCCGATGAAAACGCTCACTTAGGCTGGGCTCGGTGGCTCAGCCTACAAGCCCAGCACTTAGAGAGGCCGAGGCGAGTGGATTGCCTGAGCCTGCGGGTTCAAGACCAGCCCAGGCAACTTGGTGAGACCTCGTCGCTACAATAAATCAAAATTAGCCGGATGTGGTAGCGCGTGCCTGTAGTTCCGGCTACTTGGAAGGTTGAGGTGGAAGGATCGCCGGAGCCCAGCAGGTCGACACTGGGGTAGTCGTGAGTGAGCACGCCACGGCACTCCAGCCTGGGTGATAGAGTGAGACTCCAATGGAAAAAAAAAGCAAAAAACAAAAAACGCTCACTTGTATTTAGCCATACTTACCGTGCCTTGTTTCCTGGTCCATCATGACCCAATATCAATATCAACTAAACACATATTATTAACAAGTTTGACAAAGGCTAATATGGTGTAGGGATTAGGGGCACCTCAGAAATTTGGGACAAGAGAAGTTAAACAAAGGGAACCCTGAGTTGCTTCAAATTTTACCAGATAGTAGGGTTGCAGGGAGAACAAAGGTGGGAACATGAAGAGGGAACAGCACATGCAAAGGCACAGAGGAAAATAGTCTGGAAGAGCAAGTTGTGTCCTGGGTATGGTGAGTGTGTGTGTGAGTGGGTGGGGGTGGACAGAGACCGAGACCACAGAACTGGGACTGGTGGGCAGGGAGATGCCATTCCCAGGTGAGTTTGCCAAAGGTACCTCTGTCTGAGGCTCATAGACGGGAAGGGAAGTCAAGCATCAGACCCCACTGCCCTGGGTGGGAGAGTACCTGGCACTGAGAAGTCAGGGAGCCAGGAGGGGAGAGTTAACCCACATTCTCACTGTCCTGAGCCCCACCCTGGCCAGCCCCCAAGGATCTCATTTCCCCCCCTGTGGGAGTTCAGGAGCTCACGCGCCAGTCCAGGGGTACCATTCGTCCAGATGTGGAGTTGGTGGTTCACACGGGGGCTCCCACACAGTGGGCTCCCACGCTTCTGAAGCAGGGTCCTGCACACGGGGCACAGCCTCACCTTCCCACCTAGTCTCTGCCTCCCCGCCATCGTCCCGGGCACTTTGTCCCCACTGAGACAGGCGAGGTTTTCCCAGGGGTCGGCTGAGGTGGGAGGGAGGGTGGCTATAGTCAGGCTAAGTCATGGGGGTTGGATCAATCTCCTTGTCATGATTTCTTTGGCCACAAGCCTCAGGGCCACCAGGGGCTGGGAGGGATCTGTTCTTGTCACCTCAGGCCTGGCTGACCGACTTTGTCTCTTGGCACAGAGGCACAGAGCTTCGGCCTGCTGGATCCCAAACTCTGCTACCTGCTGGATGGGATCCTCTTCATCTACGGTGTGGTTATCACTGCCCTGTTCCTGAGAGCCAAGGTGGGTGCCACTAGGCTTGGGAGGAGGGGTGGGTTCCCCCGCTGGGGTGGAGGTTCAGAGGGGTGGCATCTTGGACAGCCTCAGGCATAGCTAGTGCCTGGGGCTTGGTGTCCATGGGCAAGACAGGGACCAGCCAAGTGTGCTCACAGGGTGGGCTGAGGAGGTGGTGGGTGTCTGGCTGAGCTGGCTGGGGTGTGAGGGAGAGCCTGGCGCCGCGCGCCTCGGCGAGGAGCTGGGCATATGTGTGAGCACCAGCATCCTGGGCAAAAAAGGGGCTTTCACTCAGGTCATTAGGGGCAGGGGGTGGGGGTGGGGGAGAAGGGTCTGGCCTCTTCCTGGGTCCTGCTGTGCAGCTGCAAAGGGAGGCCACGTCAGCCTTTCTCTTAAACCCAGTTTCCCCATTTGTAAATAGGAGAGTTGGCCCAGAGCAGATCCGGGAGTTCGCGGAGGGGTTGGGCATGGACGTGGGCAGAGGGCGGAAGGATTTAGGGACAGGGAGGCTCCAGGTCCTGTGGGCTCTTCAGTGCCGGAACCCCTTTCTCTTTTGAATTTTGGACTTTGGCATTAGATTGTATTTGAAACGCCAAGTCGTGCTGACTTCCTTTCTTAAGTCTGAAGACACCGCCGGCTGGTCTCTGAGGCTGCGGCCAGCGCCCGCGCCTGG